TTTTGGCTGTGCATCCTGAAACTGCTGCTGCTTCTACGACACGGCAAACCAATTATCTGCATTGACTTGCTTACTGGAATCTGCTTCTTACTACTCTGTCTATGGAGCAGCTATTGAGGTGCTGATGGCAAGTGTGTCGGAGGAAGTGCGGCTGCTGATGTCCCGGCATCTGCAGTCGCACGTGTGGGTGGATTCCGCCTACAGCCTGGAGATCGTGAAATCCACCCGCTGGCACCTCGGTTCCTGTGGCCGCGCCGAAGGAGTTTGGAAGGATATTATGAGTGTGAACAAGGCCAAGCAGGTCTGCTTCATCCAGAGGATCCACTTTCACTTTCAGGTGAGGCGTCGCCAGGTGAAGGCCGCCGTGCATGCACGCATGAATCAGGAGCTGTGGGACTCCACTCTTGAAGGTGTGTGCTTCTTGGTTTGGGTGTTGGATGCTATGCGGGCAGCCAGAACGGATGACGGTGCCGCCCTGCTCTTCGCCCCCGACGTCCTTCGAAGTTGCTTCCAGAAAGTCCTTGAAGGGCTACTCGACAGCCAGTGCACTTGCTTGTTGAAGGACACACGTTAGCTGTGTTGTTGTTTTGTGTGTTCCTGCTTGTCATCCAGGGATTACACGGCGGAGGCGGAGAAACACTGCCTCCTGAGGCTCGCTGAGGTGAAACCCCAGGATTGCTCCATTTGGGCGGACCACCTGCCTAAAGACCCGGCTGCCCACGCACTCAAGGATTGCAGGGAGCAGTTTACAAAGCTGGACCAGGAGTCGATTCAAAAGACCTTTGAGGCTGACTGCTACAAGCTGACTTGGGATCTGTCTGCCTTCGCCACCCATGTCGACTCCCTCACCAAGAATAAAAAAACCGCCCAGCTCGCCAAGGTTTGCCATGTGCGAGCCGAGATGAAACGAGGGTCCAACACAGTCGTGAACTTTATCGAGAAGAACTCCCCTCACGACACCGCCCTTTACAAGGACCGGGACACCTGTGAAAACATCAAGAAGGCCAGCACCCCACCGCTTTGCCTCTCCAAGACCGACACCCCAGATCCTTAAGCCGCTGTCTCAAAACATCCTTAACCCCGAAGTTAGGTAGTTCCGAAGAAGGATCTCAGTTTTCAACCCAACACCGCCCACCCCACTCTCTCAAACCCTGAAGCCTAAACCCTTAACCCTGAAGCCCCTGGGCCATAACCCCCTAAGCCCTCATAGACCCTAAACCTTAAACCCTTTAACCCCTAATGCCCTAAATCCCTGCTCTGTGCCAGTGGCTGAATGCCTCGCGGCCCGATGCCGCCGTCGTCTGGGTCGACCTCACAAAGTTCGGCAGGCTGCAGGCTGAGACGCTGAATGACATCGCTGAGCTGCTCAGGGGGATTCTTAGCCACAACCCCCAGATCATGGCCGGCATCCTCATCGTGCCAGTGCTCAGCTCTTCCAGGGTTGGCAGTGGCATCCGAGGGGAAATTCGGTGGCTAGCTTGCATCTACCGTTTAATTGCGCTGCAGGAAAGCCGTAATGCATTGCCAATAATTCAAACTTTGACTGTCGTTTGTGCTTCAGGCGGCTGGAAGACAAGCTGGACGCAAAGTTCTTGGACAATGTCAGCATCAACATTCGTATGGGCGAACCCCACAACAACAAGAAGCATGCCCTGCTGTATCCGGCTATGGTGTGCTGGGCTTCCGGAACCTCCGAGAACATTTTTCAGACGTCCAAGCTGGTCGTGGACAGGCTTGGTCGTGTTGGTACAATGGTTTCTATGGACACGAGAATATCAATCACTCCCCTTCACACTTCATTATCTTGTCTTCTTTCTCTTTCTCTCTCTCTAACTCTGGCATTCTGTCTCTCTGGTCGATTCTTCTGTCTTCTGTCATTCTGGTCAGGTGCAACCGCGACCCAGTGGAGTGGAT